AAGGCAAACTAACTTAAATGAGTTTATAACCGACTTTGATGCAGCCCTGTGAGTCCGCACGGTTAGGTATCACCACTCTGCCAATTTCTGCCGTGAAGCAGTAATGCGTTTCGGTTTGAAGGGCGGGGCAGCTGTTGTACTGTTAAAAGTAAGACCTTACAACTCATGTCTCAAGGCGGGTGGCGGCATTTACGTTGTAGATGTCTATGGGCTACGGTAACCACTTAATACCAGATGGGTCGTGATCTCGCCCACCCATCTAAGCAATAAAAAATCCCATAGACATGAGAACCCCATCGCCTCCTTGAAGCGATAGTTCAAAGAAAATGTATTACAGTAGCTATTATCAGTGGCGAGGCGAATTTGTAAGCTTGCATAGGGAAGGACTACAAACCTGCTTACTTCAAGACATCCATTAAATAATCTCACTGAGATTTGGATCTCATGTTGTAGTCAGAACCGTTGACGTTATGATGTGTATTGACTCCGGTAAGCACTTAGCACCAGATAGAATATGATCTCGTTCATCTGTGAAGGGTTAAATAAGTACATACCAGTTTTCTGTCGGCAGTACTTTGTAATTCTGTTTCAATTCTAGAGCTAAGGCTCCACATTAGGCGAAAGCAGAAACTACCCGAAGACCATAAAATAATTATATTGATAAAAAAAAAAGCCATAAGTAGATAGTAGATTTAGCTCATACAGCAGTAAATGTAATTAAGGATATTTAAATATATATTTTAAACAATCCCGCGAGAGCTCCGTGGTGTGGTGTTCAAATATGCAATATTCATTTCCAGTTCGATAGGGGTCGGTGTAAGCCAGAAGTGCGCCGTAATGCGATTCCATAGCAATCACATGCTTCATTTTGCATTCCTTCAAACGCTTCTCGCTCTAGCCCGCGTCACGGGAAAGCAGAATTCAGACGACGGTTAATGCTGACTTTTGACCTTAAAATCGTGTGGTAAATTTAAAAAAAATATGAGCCGTCACGGGACGCCTGGCAGATGTGAAACATCGACATTATTTTGTAAAAATAATATGCAGAAAAAAACAGATTGTGATAGGAACCAAAATCATAATGATAAAATAAAATATTACGAAAAAATAATTTGTTTTCAAGTAAAACACAGGTTATGTGTGTCAGTGTAGCGAGAGAGATGGCTTAACGCCGGATCGAGTGGGAGAGAATCGCACAGTCGATTGCGCATGGCGACGCGTCGCCACGGCATGCGTCGCCACGCCAGAAATCGGTTTTACGTGCGGCTATAGATGTTTCACATCAAAATCTACAGAATATTTTGAGTTTTATTGCATACTAGTGGCCCGCTCCGACTCCGCTCGGGTCTTTAAGAAAAAAATCAACGATATTTGACGTTGTTTTATTTTTTAAAATAAAAGAACACTTATTGCGGCATAACTATAATAGTTAGACATGCTGTCGCGATACTTTTTGCAAATAATAATGAGTTTCATGAATAGTTTTCGCAGGGCACGCGACGTAAATAATATTTTAGGTAATTTTTTACACCTTGGATTGCATTATTGGAGTTTTAGTAAGGATCCCTAGATTTTTTCAAAAAAGATTATAGCCTATGTGTATTTGAAACGTCAGCAATAATATATGTCGGTGACGGTCATTCGTTTGGTAGCTAAACGAAACGCAACACGATTCGCGAGAGATGGCAGCACGATTGCGGTATCGTCGGAACTCGGATAACTTCGTGCTACGACAGAGCCTAGCCGAGGGAGGCGCGTAGACTTGATCACACTTACCAACCAGCCTTCTTGAAGAGCGGTGCCTCCGTTCTAAGAACTGTCATACGTTTCGTCTGCTAAGCTCGATCACCCTATTCACCCCTATGATGTCTGACGATTGTATTAATAATTGTGGCTTTTCCGACATATATATAATGACTATAGGCAACGCAAGTTTAAACCGTAAATGTAGGTACTTTTAATTATGTCTACGAAAGAAAAATCGATGAAAATACTAAAGCAAGCTATACTTTCTTGTAAAGTATACTTTTACTGTGTTTGCTCCAGATCCTGATTACCTACGAAATAAAGCCAGATAGCATATTAAAGTATAAAAAAACTGAGATTTCGTCAAAAAAGTTTTGTGCTCAGTTATGTAACAGCTACTACGCGACCGACACCTTTAACTACTAAGCCTCATGAATCAAATTAAGTCGGCTTAATATGAACACTCACACATTTAATGTAATTATCTTTTAAGACGCTTAACAACTTAATTAAAGTTCAACTAGAAACTTGATATGAGAAAAACACCATTCGAGACATCGTTCAGAATAATTCCTAGAATTGCGTGAATTAATTATCATACCAAAGATGTTTATCTGATATTATTGAAGATATTAACACTTTTAGTTTATCTACTTTATAAGCTTTATAGGACTTAGTTTTTGTTTTAGAACGAAAGACGAATCGCGGTTTTAACTTATCGAGTTCCCGATGTTTCTAACTTTTCGGCCCACAGACGTCCACTGGTGGGATTAAACCTTCCCCAAGCTTCGCCACAGCGACCGGTTCTAAGCTGCCTACATCCAACGGATTCCCTCAAACTTCAACAGGTCGGCGGTCCACCTTGTAAGCCACGTAAAGTCTTCCCGTACACGGTTGCTACTGGAGCACTTTTCGGTACCAACTTCAACGTTGCTATCTTTGGGCTATGTTGGTTACCATGGTTTTCCTGGGAATCTACTCCTTCCTGTTTTGATTTCGCAAGTAAACTCCGGGCATAGCCCTCTCCGTTGCTCTTTGGGTACTTTGAGCCTTCTTATAAGGCCCATTGTGAGCGACCACGTCTGAGTGCCATATGTCATTACAATCATTAAAACATCAAATCCGATGTTTCAGTGCTGTCGGAAGTGCCATTATTGCAGCTGGTGGAATTTTAGGAGACTATTGGAATTTAATTTAATTGTAAATTACCATGTAAGAGTTCATCATATCAAATTATTTGTAACATTTAGTTCATTATTTTATGTTGGCATTAAGCTTGTCATATTTTTTTAATAATTTTTGATTTTATATAACAACATCAAACGCATCAAGATTTGATCTGATTGGTGCCAAATTCCTTTTTTATTAATATGTGTGATGATTTTATTACCTTTTCTCTTAAGAAAACTACCTGTACTATATTTTATTGAGCAATTATTTATTTCAAGAAATATTACATGTCTATTATATATTAGAAGAATTAATCACGATAATTACTACTTCACAAAATTATATTCCACCGGTTCTTGTATCGAAATTTTTAGGTGTTTTATATCTGAAACTTATTATTTCTAACTTTAATTGAAGATTCGTTAAACTCATTTCAGACTAAATTATATTCAAAATTGGGTGCGTGTGATTAAAGTTATTACACAAATTATCATATATACAAAGCAGACCTTACTGTTACGTCTACAAATATTTTAGCACAGCGCAAGCAACCTACCCATTATTTACCAAGCGTTACTGTTGAACGAATTTTACTGTATGTAAATTAAATTGTCGACTACCTCACATTATTTACACCTAAAAAGCTTCACTCAAAAGCTCCGCGAAGCCCTAATATTAACAAGTTTAAAATCACATCAGCTTTAAGCTCCCCCGGAGCTCCCGTTGTCAATCGTCCCTGTAATTTTCATCCGATGTTTCGGTCCAATTCGTTGTTATACGACACTTTGTGTATAGCTTCCTGTTTCGCATGTCAAACGCAATTTACATTTGTTTACGAAACAAAAACTCGCTTAGATTTTGGTATTGTTGGGTAGTAGAGCTTAGCGGCTCGGAGATTGAACGTGCGTCGGAGCGAATTGGAAACTATGGATTTGGCCTAAAAAATATGATACCCAATCATGTTTATTACTGGTGGTAGGACCTCTTGTGAGTCCGCGCGGGTAGGTACCACCGCCCTGCCTATTTCTGCCGTGAAGCAGTAATGCGTTTCGGTCTGAAGGGTAGGGCAGCCGTTGTAACTATACTGAGATCTTAGAACTTATATCTCAAGGTGGGTGGCGCATTTACGTTGTAGATGTCTATGGCTTCCAGTAACCACTTAACACCAGGTGGGCTGTGAGCTCGTCCATAAGTCATCAATATGCTTCTACAAGTTTCGAACCTATTAGATAACTTCAAACTTCACTCTCTCACCAGTCAGATTTAGAATAATTTGAAGCACGTACTAACGTCGTCTATTGCGTATTGGAAGGGATTATGATCAGTGTCGGTTCCTCCATGTATCGAGGTCTTAATTGAATTAAAATAACATTCAAAGTTGCTTAATGGCAGAAATAGGAGGGATGGTAGCACAAACGCGTCCCAGTGCAATGATTGGTGCAAATGCTTTTTATTTATTTCTATCTCTCTCTATTTAATGTTATGTAATCGACTATTAGGTTTTAGATAATCGCTTAATGATAGCAACACGTAATTACATTGTATTTATACTTTTAACGAGGTGCATACAACACTATTCTTAGTGAACATTATTGGAATAAAGAATTTCTTCGATCGCATATCTTTAGATTTTAATTAACGGAGGCTTTTTTATTGGAATTGAAGACAAACAAGCTCTGGGACCTTTTTTTTTATTGCCCGAGTATGAAATTTTCCACACTTATAGAGAATATAGAGAAGTGCACAATGCTAATATTTTTTTTAAATAATGCATAAAAGATAAATTAAATCAATCAATCAATAAACACTACATACCATGTATTTGACGCACACACGCATGCATACTATTTATTTTTGTTCTTGACGTCTGTGGTCAAATTGAGAATAGATTAAATATTGTTTGTCTTTATTAATATTTTTTTATAGTGTAGCCTTGGCGAAATTTGTGATTATAGAAGTATAAAATATAATCATAATAGTTTACAAACTTATTATACAATTCCAATTAATTATAGTCGAATTTCGACTACTGCGGGACCTCTAGTTATTATTATTATTAATAATGATGAAAGAGTCGAACTAACCGTTCTGCACGAGAAGTGTTGAGTCTCTTGCTAGAGGCAGCTCCGAGTCCGTCAGGGTCGCGTCCGAAGCGTTATCGGAGGCCGACGTTGGCGTGGTGGGCGCTGTGGGCGAGTCCGAGAGGCCGCGGCTCCGGGTGCGATGCCGACCGCTGTCGCTACTGGAACCGCTGCCCGAGCCGTACGGGTGCAGTCGGCCCAGGCCTGCCCAAAATTGTACACGGTTAATAAGGCTCGAGGGTGGAAAGCTTTACATATCGAGTGGACTCTACTTATTTCGTTTTGTGGGGTTATGAATAGAGCTAAACATCAAAAAAATAATAGTTTAAAAAAATTAACAAATACGCTTTTATAGAAAATCCAACTAAAAAATTTAATTTTAATAAATTTGAATTAAAAATAGTGTAAGAAAAAATGATTTTATTGTAAATAACACATTTGTAATTGTTTTGCGACAAATGAATGTCGGCTATTGTTAACGTTTAGGAACAATTGTTTTTACAATCACAAAAAAAATTCAAGATTCTTTAAGTTTATTTATTATCATAACGTAATCGAAGTTTTTGGTGTAAGTTAATGATAATATACGTGGAACAAGAATAGAAAACAATGCTCATTACTTTAATAATGAAAATATATAAAAGCAAGTGTTGACATTAAATTGTATAATTAAAAAGGCTTTTTATATATAACTAGCTGACACAAATAATTCAAGACCAAAATTAGCCAAATCGGTCCAGCCGTTCTCGAGTTTTAGCGAGAAACTAACGAAAAGTAATTCATTTTTATATATACAGATATCTAACTTAGTCTAAGAAGTACAGAAAGTATTTAGAAACTAGCAAAAGGAAGGGTAGAGTTTCTTAAAAAAAAGGGTACAAAATGAACTCAGAAATAAGACAGAATCCTTACTACTTAATAGTGTTCGAATAAATTATTTACAGCAAGCAACATGTATTCACAATATTTTCTTCGACCCATAATATTCTCAAAAGAAAACCCAAAGATCAATAAACAGTCCCTAAAAACGAGACATCGCATTTATAAAACAAATAAAAACCAAAACAGAGAATCGTAATACGGATCCGTAAAAAGGTATTTTAAAATCTCATACATTATGTATGTACTTCAGTCATCAGGAAATAATAACAAAGGAAATTGAAGCCACATAAAATGAGAGGAAAGGGCAGCCATAATTAGAAATGATAAGGCTTCATGACATGACAAAGAATACAATGAGGATTCGTGTGCTGATCTCAATGAAATCGGAGGAAGTGAAATAATTGGAGTACACTCCTGGGGCGGATTAATATTATTCTCCATGTAACCAAGTTGAAAAAAACATTTGATATCGGTTAATAAAGTAGTTAATAAAAGTAATTTGGATGAGTAGCGGTACCTGTAAATAGCACAGAAGATTTTGATAATCTAAATCGTGCTAGCGGCATTTACGAGAAAAGTTGCATATATTATTTATATTACCGACAATAAATATTTGATATCGCTTGTCTACTGAATGTGGACACCCTCATAAACACTACAATTCACTACCACACGTTCGTGAGTTGTGGTGTCTATATGCTGTCTCATGAAGCCATCAAGATAGAGGAAGAGGTAGACCTAAGAAGAAATTGATGGATTGTGTTAAAGACGATATGTGTAAAAGGGGAGTGAGCGAAGATATGGTATATGATAGAGGAGTCTGGAAGGAGAAAACATGTTTGGCCGACCCCAGGGGACTGGGAGAAGGACAGGAGAATGATTATGCCATCAGAGCACCCGAGGACAAGCAGGGCTGGCGCAATAATCCAGGAGAAAGTTATTAAAAGAGGCCACGACCCTCAGCATTGAGGATTGTCAACGCAAGAAGGATGATACACTTAAAACAAGGTGGGTCGTAAATTGTCTATTTATCTACTGAATTCTACTGTAGTTAAAAACATCAACTCTATAGTAAAAAAACTACATTGAGCTAAACAGCAGCGTTAAACATAAAATTTCGATCTATCATTAAAAGCCTCGAAACGTAATAAGGAAAATGTGTATATCACTAAAGACGTCGACATGTTGATTTACCTGTAATCGAAATACAACGCTTTGATGTTCTCCAGAATTATTTTAGTAAGTAATCAGGAAATTTATTTAAAAATAACTTTATTTTTTTGATTGAGCCATTTCAAATAATTTCGTTCCGATTACGAGTATTGTGTTTAGTACTATTTCATTTAGTTATATTTTGTTAATAGTCATTGATTGGAAATATTCCGAAAATTTACTGGCGAGAAAGCCTCTATGAAAATCTAAGAAACATATATCTAAAAGTTATAAGCAATTATTAGAAAAAAAATATTGCAAAGCAAGCTTCGGCAAGAACTGTTAAAGTCCAGAACTTATCGAACTAAGTATTGCTATTTCAATGAAAGCGGTAAAAATAAAGATAAATCTAATGCAAAACAAGATTTCTTTAAAATCTTTTAATTCGCAACATTAAAAGAAATCGTATGAGATCACTAAAGGAAGAATAAACGAAAAAATAAACTGAAGAAAGAGTGCTGTAGGGGAATCTGAAAGGAATCTTTTTAATTCAACTCAAACATCTCTGGAGGCCGAACTCAAAGGAGCCGAGGAAAAAAATAGCAGCTAATGTACCTCATTATTGGAATTTATAACAAGGTTAAAATAGATATAACTATAATTAAGATTACTTATTTGACTGTCCATCCATAATCTGTTCACAATATATCAAATTTATCATGGTCTAAAGAATAAGACACCCAGAGCAGTCGTATCGAGCGATGCGATTTTGACGATGTTGGAATCTCGCAGGCGGGTAACTATTTTTTTAACGAAATATCTACTAGACAAATGTTCACAATTGACTTCTGTGGTGAGGGAATAGAAGTGTGTAATGAAAATCAAACCCGCATAAGTGATAATTAGCATAATTATGGGCGTCTCGTGAGCATGCACGTGTAGGTACCACCACCCTGCCTATTTCTACATTTGTCATATAAAACTGATAGTTAAAACTCATGTCTCAAAGTGGCTGGACAGGATTTACTTGGTTGATGTTTATGGGATCCAGTAACCACTCAATAAAAGGTGGGTCGCGAACTCGTCCACCCATGTAAGCAATAATAAAAGTCTTATCCGTAATCACTGAGGTTGTCAAGAATTCAAAATTGCAATATATACCATCATCAACACACAACACATACAAACAAATAACATGATACTTAGTAGCAATAGCAAAATATATTTTTTTAAATAGTATTATATTCGCCAATAACTACCGCGACTAATGATCAATTTGGAGTGGAATTATAGGGTTAAAATTAATTAGTTAAGTTAATTTAGTAAAGAGTTGGCAATAATTGTATATATTTTTTCATTTTAACGTATAATCAAAAACGTAGATGTAACCTTTTAATTGACTACTTCTGGCATAACGTTTTTGATACGAGAATAATATTATAAAGAGATTCTCAGTTTAAAAGAAGTCAAATTAGGATTAAAAGCAGCAAAAGTAAAGTTAACAAAATAATTAACATTTTTAAATAATGAAGGATTCTTGTTATTATGTATAGTTCATTTAACAAATTCTATAATTTTCGACATGTCGATTACGACCTAGAAAATTTTACAACATCAGTACAATAGCTTCTACTGGTTCGCTATTCAAAGCAATCAATTCAGTTTTGAAATTAAATATTATTTCTGTTTCTTGCAAATGGTTTGTATGTACTATAAGCGCATAATGTTCACTTGGCATGAAGAATCCACTGTCGTTGAATTTTCTTTCTTTTGAAAAGGACATTCCTTTAAACCTTCATATTATAATTATGCATTTAGGACTTGAAACTTATATCTCACAGTATTTACTTTTTGAAGTAAACAGCTTATGTCAACAGTCGTTCAAAAGGCTAGCTCGCATTTCGCAAGAACATTTTGACTACACTTAAAATGTTGGAATTTTTTTCACAAATACCTCGTTAAGCAATGTCACAATTTCACTTGCGTCGTAATCCGAATACAATTAACGAATACACTAAATGCCGAATTAAAAATAGCACTATCACATTTATCCTTCACACAAACTGAATTTAGATCCAATTCGCGAAATGAGACACCCTCCACGCTTCGTACTAAAAGACAAATGAATTAAAAATAATGCCTGTTTCCTCTTCGCGTGATAAACGTGATGATAAAACCGTAACCGCAGGACATCCTGATGATAACGAATGACCGGTCACTATTATAACAACTCTATTAATTTGTGTGGCTTCTATGTAAAACGACTAAGATTAAACGTGGATTTAAATCTGAATTTTTATGATGGATTAGCAAGCATTACAAAAATTCTAAATGTATACTAGATTACAACAAACAGTGCAGCATCCCTAAAGATTTCTTAGGTAGATTACGCAATCAGAAATGAAAATGGTTTAGATGACTTGTGCTTTTCTTCCGCTGTTATTTGTTCAAATTGATCAGTCTCTTTTGGCAGTCATAAAAGCTCATAGCTTGTTTTGCGGTCGTATTTATTTCAATAGCCACATCCCAAGCAAACGGCAACTTTGTACCGAATCCGAATTACAATAGAAAAATTCAATAGGACAGAACGGCGAGCTCATAAATATACAATTGGCATGTTGCTTACTCTTTGAAATCACGTAGCTCAGAGTGTGGGACAAGCCCCTGAAGTATTGGAGATAGAAAAAAAAAAAAACACGCAAGTATAAATAAAGCCAACGAAATCCGTTTTCCGCACGTATTGTCATTCGTTAACAGAACTATATCCAGGACAAATTTGTAAGGAGCCTCGAATTCTATTACGACGGTTCGTTTCGAAGGACCCAAATAAATAGGACGACTTGGACGATTTGAATATTGCAAATTCGCATAAACGAACCGGCAAACCTTTACCAGAGGGAACAACTGTTACTTTGGTTGACAATAAGAAATCATGTGTTTCGTGATTAGGGAGAGGGGGGAGCTTTACTGATTGATGCAATCGCTAGCGGAGACGGTAATATTGTTTTCTGCACACAAAGTACCGTTGTGTCCAACTACCATTGCGTCAGTTTTAGCAGACGGTCAAACAACCGCTGGGAAAAGAACTGCTCCCAAAAGATATAAATCAAATTTATTTTTGGTCTGGTGCTGAGCCTAATGATAGGTTTCCGCGCCTTCGTTTAGCGCAG